TTTCCCTTTTTTTTTTTTTTTTTCCCTGGACTGTAACACATGGAACAGGCATGTTGTATTTCACAACAGTGGTTCCAGGCAGTCAGTGCTAGTGTCGATCATGGGTAGGCAACCCCTGGCATGTGTGCTGGAGCGTGGCATGCAAAGACATTTTACTTGGTGGTCGTGCCTTGGGGAAGGGGCTGGGGCTGTGCTGCCACAACAAGGATCAAGCTCCTTGTGGCTTCCCTGTCACCTACCCCTGGCACACCAACATCTTAAAAGGCGGGGTTGTGGATGTTTTTGGCACTCTGCCCAGAAACGTTGATGACCCCTTGTATGGATATACCCTAAATGTACCTGTGTAGTACTTCTGGGGAGAGGGGTATCTCTCTCCCCAAGCCAGGTAACAACCATTTATGTATGTGTTTCAGGGCTAAAAAATATTTTCCAGCCTTTGGAGTAGTATAAAGTTACATATAGGGAAACTGAAAATATAGCTTGTATAATTAATTTTTTTTCTTCTATATGAGTTACAGTTCTGTTTGAATGAACTATTTTTCCTCTTTTTTCCTCCCTTCCTGTCCAGAATATATTTTTAACCAAAGATGGAACAATACAACTGGGAGACTTTGGAATTGCTAGAGTCCTTAACAGGTAACTCCTAGTTAGTGCTGCTTCCTATAAATCAGGGGTATCAAACTCAAATCAGTTGGTAGGCCATATTTTGTGTCAGCAGCCACAAGGCTAACGCTGCTGTCATTGCTGCTTGTCCCCATTGCTAACTGCTGCTGATTTTTTTTTTTTTTTTTTTTTTTCATTGGCTGTGGTGATTAAAAACAATAAGTTCCGTGATGGGAAAAGGGAGGTGGTAAGGAATGACAGTGTTGAACTCCTGGGTCCTGGTAGGGTATATGGCCCACCAACTGATTTAAGTTCTTTGGAACTGGCTTTACTCACACAGAGGTCTAAGACAAAATTGCCTATTCTCCCAGCTCCTTTGGGAAGAAATGTGCTCCCCCCACAACCAGCTCAGCCTCTGCCATGGCAAGAAGTTCTGTGGGCCAGAAGGCCTACCTCCATGGGCCAGATCCAGCCTGTGGGCCATACGTTTGACATCCCTGCTATAAATTTATTGGAATAGACTTCATCTAGCAAAATAGACTCTACATAACGTTACATGAGTTAATGTTAACTAATTCACTTTTAGTTTTTCTTTATTTTAGTACTGTAGAGCTGGCTCGTACTTGCATAGGAACACCATACTATTTGTCACCTGAAATCTGTCAGAACAAACCTTACAACAATAAAAGGTACTGCAAAAATCCTTGAATTCTTCTCTTCTTTTTGTTTCCTTTGTCTAAAAAAACTAAAGCTTTTCCTGCTTTCAGTAAAGAGCACTTAATTCAGTCTTCCTCTCAACATGGTAGGTGTATTTTTGTTTAAACTGGAAAATCAGAGTGAATGCACAAACACAAAAACTATTTTCTTCCCCTCTAATCGTTGAGTGCCTGGGTGGTCCAGTAGGCTTCTGGTTACTAGTTTAGGAAATAATTAGCACTGTCTAATGTGAGCACATTTTTAATGTTTCTACTGTTCCTGCCGTTAGGCAAAAACCAGCTCCAACTCTCACGAGCAAATTTATGTTTTCTTCTTAATGTGCGTTTTTATCCCACTTGGAATTCTTTAAGCAGTTTTAGTAATAGGGGAAACTTATGCATTAATTTTTTTTTGTTTTTTGGAGGAGGAAGATCGTTTCTGTTCTTTTCCCTTTAATGTTTTCTCCAGCAAGGCAGCTAGCATTTCTCCCATTTGTCTGTGTGCAACAATTGCTTTACTACTTACTCTTGGTGATTGAGTAAACTGTGAATGCCTAGAAAGAATCTGGAATTAGAATATATAACAGTCCTTCAGTTTGTGATAGATGCATGCCCGTCTTTGGATCTGGACTACAGTATCTACCTTTTTGGTGCCTGACCCCCAGAGTCTTTTTATGTTAAAGATGGGCACCAATATTATCTCCCTGCCCCCCTCCTACTCTTCCTCTAGTCACCTTTAGAATGAAAAAACGTGGGTGCTGAGTTGGTGTTGAACTCAATGTAGATAAGAATTTTCAGGTGAGTTAGGCATTGCTAGGCTGAGGTTTTTGGATTCAAGTGGGGTGTAGATGGCAGCTATGTGCCAAGCTGCTCAGTCTAGGACTATTATGGACATGCATAGGAGAACTGAAGATGCCTAGGGAGAGTTCAAGTCAAAAGAAGAGGCAAGAGCTGAGCAGGGGCTGTTTTGGAGCTCAGCTTTGGTCTTGCATGTCCAAAGTCCAGCTATGTTTTTTGCATTTGTTCCTTGTTATGTTATTTTCTTGCATATTACACATACTTCCCCACCCCCCACCAAAAGAAAAATTGGGATGCACGTATTAAATGGGGAAGCTGGTCTTTCTGCCATGAATAGAAGCACCCTGCTTTGATTCTTGCTCCACAGCACAGCAGCATCAGTGGCATTAATATTCAGGCAGCTGAGAGAGTCCTTTGACTTAATTAGTCATTATTCTTCACTCCAGAGGAATTACAAGTGTCTCTCCTTTTCTCCTTTTTAATAGTTTGCATGTTCTGCTAATCTTCCTTAGCTTTCCTTGATCTTTCTCCTCTTATTTCACACCCTTGTAGAATCTTCAGGTCTTTTCAAAATCATAGATCCAGCCATGGAGACCAATCTGCAGCAGGAGTTAGGATTTTGGCTTTAGTTAAGCAGGAAAAAGAGGGCGATCCAGCAGAAGGGTATTCTCCATCCTTGTTCTATGTAGCCATAACTCTGGAAAAGTCTTCTTTTCTTTCATTCTGCCTTTCAAAAACAAGGGGCTGGTTATATTCCAGGGTGTTTTGTATGTGAGAAAATGCAGTATATTATTTTTAAATTACTAAGTTAGTACACTTCTACAGAATGAAATGCTTCATTTTTACAACTAAGTCAGTATTTTCAAGAATATATTTCTAGGTTATTTGGTAATTTTAGAAGATAAAAACTAAAATTTACATGTCTATTTTTCTTTGTTTAGTGACATATGGGCTCTTGGTTGTGTTCTCTATGAAATGTGTACACTTAAACATGCAGTAAGTAGAAACTTTAAGTATTTTGTAAAATTGTGGTAGTAATTTCAAATAACCGGGAGTTTTTTGTTGTCAAGTCTAAAAATGATTACTCGTGAGCTGATGCGTTTCACCTGCTTGCTTTTTAAAATGAACTATTCCATTAAAGTAATTCCCCTTCTCTGCTTGTCTTGCTGATTAGTCCTTGGCCATTAGGGCTCTGTGAATAGGGAAGTATTCAATCAGGATTTGGATTTGGCCGATTTTGGAGGACAGCGATTTGATTCGGCTGAATAGGTTTTGGAAGATTTGGCACTGATTCGGAGAGATTCAGTGATTCGGATTGGCCAGGGAGAGGCAGTCACAGCCAAGTGGCTTCAGTTTCTCCCACAGCTCCTCAGCTGTGCCTGCCTCTCCCTGGGCAGGGGGAGCTGCAGGAGAAACCCCTATGGCTTCCCTGCCCAGCCCCAACCTAGTCCTGGCACTTCATAAGCAAAAAAACCAAAACAAACAAAAAAACCCTGCACTCACCAGCTTCAGCAGTGGTGACTGGGGCCTCTGGGCAGTCGTGCCAAAGCCCTCTTGTGCAGCGCGGGGCAGTGGGGAACTGCCCCCCCCCCCCACGCCTGGCATCTGCATGGCAGCTGTTCCATCGCACAGGTGCAGCATGGCTCAGTAGGGTGCTGCATGCTGTCTGGAAACTGGGGCTGAGCAGTGTCAGGCTCTGGCTGACAGGTGCAGCTGCCCCAGCTCCCAGACAGCGCACAGAGCCCTGCCGAGCCACACTGTACCCATGCCATGGGGCAGCTGCTGCGCAGGTACCAAGCAGGGGGGGTGGTCCTTGCTGGCCCCCACTGCCCTGTGCTGCATGTGGGGGCTCTTCCATGAGTCCTCAGAGGCCCGGATCCCTGCTGCTAGAGCCAGTGAGTGCAGGGGGGCGGTTTTGCGCCGGGAGGCTGGGCCGGGCAGGGAATGGGCCCAGGCAGGGCAGCGATGGGGGCTTTTCCCACACCTCTTCTGGCTGTGCCTGCCTGTGCCGAGGCAGGATGGGTCATGGGGGCTCTGCCCTGCTGCCGTTTGCCCAGCCGGAAAGGGGTGGGGAGCGTGATGCAGGCATGACTCACTTTGGGCAGCAGCAGGGCATAGCCCTTCCCAGGGCTGTCATGCCCATTTCAGCACAGGGAGCGGAGGCTCTGCCCTTCCGCTGCTTGCCAGCTGGTGCAAGAAGCACAGGATGTGGGTGCGGCAGTGCTGGGAGTGGGAACTGTGCCCTGCTGCTGCTTGTCCTGTTCCACCTGGAGCGAACTGCACCTGCATCCCGCCTCTCCCTCACCCCAGCTGGGCAAGTGGCAGCAGGGCAGAGCCCCTGCTCCCTGCTGCCACACCCGCATCCTGTGTTACCCCACCTCCCTCCCCGAGTAATGCACCCCCCTGTCCCAGCTGGACACCTTGTCCCAGCCCCAACCCCTCCTCGCCCCATATCCCTTCCCTCTCCTTTCCCCCAACTCCAACAGACTTACCAGCTGGCGGCAACTGTGTCAGCTGCTTGTTTAGTCTATGGCCGAATCTCTGATGCAGCCGAATCTTTTTCAAAGCTTTTCCAAATTGATTCGGGTGCTTCAAATTGATTCAGAGCATTTAATTTGTCTCCCAGTTCAATTTGGAATTGGAGATTTGGTCCCTGAATTGAGCCAAATCTTTTTCCGAATCAAATCAGCTACCGAAGCTTCGCACAGCCCTACTGGCCGTCCTCCATTTATGTTTGTTCTGGCTTCTATACACGAATGCAGGATAGTTAGCAGTGTGTGTGCCTGAACTCATTCATTCAGTAAACTGTTTTTTGTTATCATACTTAACACTTCTGTAGCTAAAGATGCAACTGTAGAATTCTTTTCCTTGTAATGCTGTGAACTTTTTTTATCCAAGTCGGTGATTAAGATATTGATAATGGTCTTTTTAAAATATTTGGAAGGAATTAGTTTTTTTGATACTTATACAAATGACATTCATCCTTTCTTACCTTTTTGTTACTTTTCCAGTGTGATTTGCTCTGTGCTCACATATATATGATCTTTTTTCCTGTAATATAGTTTGAAGCTGGTAACATGAAAAATCTGGTCCTGAAGATCATCTCTGGATCTTTTCCTCCTGTTTCTATGCATTATTCCTATGATCTACGTAATCTCCTTTCCCAGCTATTTAAAAGGAATCCTAGGGATAGACCATCAGTTAACTCCATATTGGAGAAAAACTTTATAGCCAAACGGGTTGAAAAATTTCTTACACCACAGGTATGGACTTGCATTAAAAAACTATTTTACTATAATTCTACATCTTTATTGTATTCAATTAAAAAAATTATATTCAAACTAGTCATTTTGTCCAATCTTAACATTTATATAAACATTTGATACCAAATTATGGGGCAAAGTTAATACACCAGAGGATAGAGAGCAGTTATAAGCCGACCTGGACAGGTTAGGTCAATGGGCAGAACATAATAGGATGCAGTTCAACAAAGATAAATATAAGGTACTCCACCTAGGAAGGAGGAATCCCCAGCACACCTACAGGTTGGGGGATGCCCTCTTTAGCAGCTCAGAGGCTGAGAGAGATCTTGGAGTCATAGTTGACTCCAAGATGAATGTGAGCCAGCAGTGTAATGAGACCAACAAAGCCAATCGCACCTTGTGTATTAGCAGGTGCATGACCAACAGATTGAGGGAGGTGATGCTCCCCCTCTGTGCCGCACTAGTCAGGCCATAGTTGGAGTACCGCATCCAGTTCTGGATGCTGCACTTCAAGAGGGACAAGGAGGATCTGGAAAGGGTTCAGAGGAGGGCCACCTGCATGATTAGTGGTCTCTGTGAAAGACGCTATGAGGAGAGGTTGAGAGATCTGGCTCTCTTCAGCCTATACAAAAGACAGCTGAGGGGTGACCTTGTGGCCGCCTATAAATTTATCAGGGGAGGACAGCAGGGAACTGGGGATGCGCTGTTTTCCAGAGCACCTCTGGGAGTAACTAGGAATAATGGGTACAAACTAGTGGAGAGTAGATTTAAGTTAGACATTAGGAAGAATTTTTTTACAGTAAGGGTGACCAAAGTCTGGAATGGGCTTCCAAGAGAGGTGGTGCTGTCACCTAACTTGGAGGTCTTCAAGAGGAGGCTTGACAATCACCTGGCTGGGGTCGTCTGACCTCAGTCCTCTTTTCTGCCAGGGGCAGGGGGTCGGACACGATGATCCGTGGGGTCCCTTCCAACTCTATAATCTATGAATCTATTTTATGTTGAGAAGAAAACACCTATTACCATATTTCTGAACCAGCTACACTTGCAGTACCCACAACTTGTTCTTTATTCCTAGAATATTTGCACTAGAAAACTACCAAAAAAATTAATTTTGGATTGCTAAAATATTGTTGCCCTCTTCTGAGATTAGTAGTTAAATCAGGGTGGGCAAAATGTGGCCTGCCAGGCCATTCTATCTGGCCTGCGGAGCCCCTAAAAATTTAGAAAATTAATATTAATCTGCTTCTAGCTGCCTGTCATGTGGCCCCCTCCATGGCTTGGCAAAACTCAGTAAGTGGCCCTCTACCCAAAATAGTTGCCCACCCCTGAGTTAAATTAACTAATTTTTCTGTGTGTAGTATCCTATTTGTCCATACAGTGAGACTTCAAGTTAGGCTTTGATTTATTTTAAAATGTGACTGTCCACAAAATGGGACTGACAATGAATTTGATAGCATACTAATACAGATTTCTTAAACTCTTGGACCACTTCAGATCAACCATTTTTGGTACAGTTTCACAGAATACTAGTTTTAAAAACTTTCCAGAATGTTTTAAATGCATAGATCAGACCTAAGTCTGAGGAAATTGTTTGGCATATTGAAGTCCGATATGGAAACCATTGTATTTATCAGAATTATTTTAAATTTAGTTTTTATATTAAAATAACAGCAAGAACAGCAGATAGTAAGCTATACTGTCTTTAGGAAGTGTATAAATGAAGAGACTAAAGAAAAAATTAAAAGGTAACCTTACCCTTTAGTGTACCCTTATATAGATTGAAAGTTCACGTGGAATTTCAGTTATTCATGACGTAGATTTTTAACTATATCCAAAGTTTTGTTGTAATCTGTGTAGAGCCTAAATACAGATTAAACTTCCAGAGGAAGGAAGCATAGTAAACAAAGAGATTATTAAATTACTAATTTGGGGCTTTAGCTTCCAGTGTTAACATTGGTTTATACGCTACACTTTTTTTTTTTGGATCTACATGTGCTTGCTTCCTGAAGCCAGCATAGATTTGGAATTTTCAGTGCAGCCTAAATAGTCATGAATTAATTATCAATAATCTGTGATGAAGGCAATATTTTTTCTTAGTTGAAATATGCTGCCTATGACAGAACTATTCCACTAATTTACCAAGATATACAAATTGGTTAAAGTGATGCTTTAAAAAAAAACAAACCTAAAATATTATTGCCATCTGTAATAAAGAAGCTAATGGAAAATACTTTTCTCTACTTTTATTTTAGTGTACTTACTCTATTTTTGGTAGTGCTCTGTATAATTAGGTTTGCTGCCTTCTGTGTTCAGGCAGAATTTTCATTTCTTTTCAAGAAAGGAACAGAACCCCCACTCCCCTCCCCACAGTGGTTTAAAATACAGCAGTGTTAAATAGAAAAGTATAAGAAGTGAAATACACAAACCATTTTAAAAAAAATCGAGTGTCATTAAGTTTACTTGAATCTTTATTCACTGATTCCCAGTATGCTTAATATTTGCCAAATAATATGCCCGAGATGAACCAGACGGTTTAAAAAATTTCTGAGATACTATAGTAGGAGTACTTTCAAATAATGTTTCCAATTCCATATTAATTACAGTGGGGCTCTGAGCAATACATAAAGTTAAGTCTTGGATACAGACAGAATTAGGGCCCACGGATTGTGATTGATCACCATTTGCTATTGTATTTTGACATTGCACTCCCTTGCATTTCTAAGAGGTTTTTTACAAATATATTCATACACTAAACTTACATAGTGAGTGTGTGTGTGTATGTATGTATGTGCTAATGTAATTTATCCTTGTTTTAAGCTTATTGCAGAAGAATTCAGTCACAAAGTATTCCAGAAATTTGGAGCCCATGCTGCACCAGGTAAATAAGCATATGAAAAATGCACTGTAATTTTTTTGAATAGCAGTAGGAGACTGTAAAAATGTACTATCTATCCTTGACTTGACAATAAAAGCTTCACTTAAGCCACAAGGGAAATACACTTTTCAGAAGCATAGGTTTTATTGAGAAATTATGCAGATATAAACTATGGGCCAATAGCATCTGGGCTAGGGAGAGAAATTGCACATTAACTGGCATAAGTGATTACAAACCAGTTCAAATCTCTAATGACAGAAGTCCAGTGTACATAAACTGATTTCAAAGTGGCCAGAACCAGTTTAATGTAAACCTGGATGCATGTAGTATCCAGTATCATCCAGCAGACTGGACGGTCACCTTGCTGGGGTCACTTGACCACAGTTGTCTTCCCTGCTTGGTGCAGGGAGCTGGATCCAATGATCTTCTGGGGTCCCTTCCAGCCTTACAATCCATGAATCTGTGAATCCCAGGATGCTTTGCACCTCTCTCACAAGCCTCCCACTTCTCCCTCTTGCAGCCTGGGCAGGCTAGCCTTGGCCCAAGCTGTCTGCTCCAGGTGAGCAGAGAGGCGTACTCTAGCACCCCCTGGTGGGCCACTGCAGGTATGTGGCTGCATTTCTGGAATCAAAAGTGAATGTTTGTTCACTTGCTTATCAGTTCAGTCTGTGCAGCTTGGATTAACCTGTGAATCATAGAAGTAGGGTTGGAAGGGACCTTGTAGATCTTAAGTTGGACCCCCTGCCTGGGTGGGAGAAAAGACTGGACTAAAATGAGTCCAGCCAGGTAGTCATCAAGCCTCCTCTTAAAGATCCCCAGGGTAGGAGCCAGCACCACCTCCATTAGGAAGTTGGTTAGGGCGGCTAGGAGCTGGAACTGTGAAGTAGTTCTTGCAGATGTCTAATCTAAACCTACTCTCTAATAATTTGTGTCCATTGTTCCTTGTCATGCCAGGGGGTGCTAGGGGAAACAGTGTCTCCCCTAAACCCTTCTGGTCCCGTCCCCCCCAGTGAGTTTATAGGCAGTCACCAGGTCCCCCCTCAGTCTTCTCTTGTGAAGGCTG